TGAATATTATCTCATAGATACAAGCTGTACGTTTGGCCTAAAGCGAGACTGGAAAATTTCCTTGAGGTGGGAACGAGGTTCAATTAAAAATCCTATACAGAAATAATTTTCTTTGATGAATTCCTTACACCCACAGCTGGGTTTTCCTTCCCTCTCTAGCTATTATTAATTCATTTACATTTTGCTGCAAAGGAAATTATTAGAATGTTGCGCAGTGAATTGCCTGCAGCAAACAAGACGAAGAGTGGAGCCCTTGCAGAATAAAATCTGGCGACTTTTATGTTCTTCTTTCTTTATGTGCAGCCTTTTAATGTCACCATTGTACCGAGCCTTGATTCAGTTCTTGTTGATCATCACTAGCTGAGTTCCTTCTGCCACTCCTCCTCCAGCCACCCTGTCTACTGAACTGACTGTGACAAATACCAAAGAATTATGAAATTATAGTGTTGAATGAAAAAAGTGTTCAGTGTGAACAAAAGGAGGAAATCTCTCACCAGAGCCCGGGTGCTTTGTTTATGCATCAAAAGTGACACAAAGGTTTGGTCTCTGCATGGGGTTGTTCTTCTCAGCATTAAAACAAAACATAAACTTTACTTGGATTGGGACATGTATATATATTTTTTTCTTTCCTACTGAACAATGAAACTTTGCTTGTGTATTTAGATAGACTGATCTACTTTACTGGGTACTGTTGTTAACTCCAGATTAGATCTTCTTTTCTTTCAGAAGCGCCTAAGGTCTTTGTGGCAAAGACCTAGTATGGGTGTCGGGAACATTCCTCTTATTTAAATTCACATCGAGATAAAATCCTCACGCATTTCCTGCAGCCCTGCGGATCCATAATGGACATCTCTCACACCACCAACTGCAACCTGAACCCTTGATGCAAGACGGCAAAGATCCAAGTTTTCATGTTGTTTAAATCTAATTCTGACCTGACCGTCTGAATGATAGAACAGGAGATGTGTATTATGGGTCAAGAGTCATTAAACTATGTAGCATTTTTTCATGTTACTGGCCAGTTCTGGAAAGGTTGTGCAAATTCTGGCTTCTGGTTCTGTATTAATATAAAAGTTTACAAGAGTTGATGTGATTGGCGAACTCGCACACATCAAAGAGAAACATTGGTCTCAAGAGTGAGAGATGCATTACTACATATTTATAACCTGATACACAATCTAATTAATTCCCAAAGTGTATTTTTGATTCATTGTTTTTAGAAAAAGTTATCTCTCCTTTGCAATTAGAAACTCTCTTAAGAGAGTTTCTAATTGCAAATATTCTTAAATATTCTTTTTAAATCAGTCGGCCTAGATATAATATGAGATGAAAAATTTCAGTTCAGTTCAGAAACACTTTATTTTTCCCGAAGAAAATTAAATCTCATTGTAACTCGTATCACCTAAGCATTCTCAAACGGTCTTCATCAGTATCACTGGGAGTTAAACACGGACCTCTTAGATTAGAAATTCAGCAATCAGAATATTTCTGATCAACTTTCGATGGCATTTCTTGTCTGGCCTGCTAATTTTGATTTTGTTCCAGTTTTTCTTATATATATATATATATATATATATATATATATATATATATATATATATATATATACCCGAATAAAGAGAAAATGTGCTGCAGGTTCTTTGTTAGGTAGCAGTTTTTAAACATATTTATCCCAATTTATGAATCCCTAATCTTTCATCTGATTTTTATTGAACACAAACTTCCCGTTTGTAGATATTTTTATGCTCCAAAAATGGTTGTGGTTCCTAATTATGATGCGTTTGTTTAGTGAATTGGAAATCCTTTTTGTTTTTCAGTGCTACTGATTGTCGATTAAGGTTAACATTGACCACCTCTAATCTGTGGTTAATTTTGTAATATCAGTTTTTACTTTGATCTGTTCTAACTTTGAAACATAAGCCCTTCCTCTGGATTGAGGTTAAAAAAATCCTCACTCACCTTTACAGAACTGCATATTTCTTTTTTTTAGAATAATTTCAACGTACAAAGAGGTTTAAGAAAGATGGAGAACACAATTTGCATTTGACAGAAAACGGTGGGGTGTCAGAGTGACACAGAGACAATCAACTGACTGCTCAACCTGACATTCAAAATCCCTGCAGCACTGAACAGAGATGTCACCCCGTGTCCTAATTTTTGAACATGCAGCCACATACAACCTTAAAGAGACAAAATACACAATGCGTATGTACAACTTTTGTTTATTTGCATCATACACAACCATACACATTCGCTTGTCTTGCAGTACAGTAGCACATACAACACAGGACATGTACACCAGTTTACCCATCCATTACCACCAGCACACAAGCCTGAAGACTTTTATCCCTCATCAGAAAGAATATTCAGTAGCATAGTAAATCCCCCCGAAATTACCTGCATTAAAAATTAGCAAAAAAAGCAAAACAAACTTATTCACAAGCCGGCATCAGTGCAGCTGTGCAGTAATATGCTCCATGAATACTGAAACTGTTTTTTCACATTAGAAGGGAGTGCTCCATCATTTCCGGTGCACTTAATTTTTTAACACAGTTCAGCAGATAAACAGCAGTTCAACTGGTTATTTTACCGTAAACAAAAACAAGGTGCCACAGTAATTAGTAGTACATACATATAAGATGGCAACAGATCCAGTCTGTCCACGTTGTGAGTGCTGCAGTGGGGATCACTATGGATAAATGACTGGACAAAATTTCAACAGGAAGTGGTGAATGGTGAGGATTTAAGTTCTACATTTGCCTCTAGACATATCCACATTAGTCAACTTTCTATTTTACAAGCAAAACTAATATCAAGCAAAAAATAAATGAAACATATTCAGACACCTTGCTTTCCTGGATTAAGGCGAATACATGAGGCTACATAGTGACAATGAGGGATGACAACATAAGTTATACCATTCAAAGATTTTCTAAAGAAGAAAAATAAACTTTAAAAACATGTTTTTAACCAGGCATGTTGTTGCATCGCCTCTTATAACAAGTCTTGATGAAAATCACTTGAATGAGGTCTGTAACCTTGCTCATGCATTAATAAGAGGTTAGTTGGGATTTTATCATTTTCATTCCCCTTTCCTGTTCATATTCTGTAAACGTGAGGCAAAGCAGCATTGGAAATGAGGGTATTGTTTTGGATAGGGCTGCACAATATATTGCAAATTTATCGCAACACCACTCTACGCAATATCGCAAAGAACCGCCAGAACTGCAATAAGTGTTGGCTACTTTTTCAAGTAGCATGCACTCAAGCTCTTTATGCTTGTAATACTTAGATACTCTTGTTTAATGCAGCACAAAAATTAAGATGATGCCATTATGGTCAAATCATTAAGCAATTATAACTTAGCTGTTTCAGTTCCAAGGTAAAAGAAACTACATTTGAGCTGAATATCAACATTCGCCAGTATTATCGTACGTTTTTTCTTTTTTTTTTTCTAATATTGTGCAGCCCTAGTTTTGCAAGAGGCCCTGCTAAGATGGTTTGCGGAGGGTGTGAATGCAGATAAATGTTATTCAAAGGTGTTATTTAATGCTTCCAGAACAATATTGAAAAGGCAGCGGTCCATTTTAAACAACCTAAAAGCAAATAACTAATACTCATTACTCATATTCATTTTTTGATCCTAAACATGGGTTGGTTTTGAAAGCTGTACAGTAGTTTTCATCTCCATGATAAGGGTCCAGAGACTCCTGGAATAAAATGATCACCATGGAATCAAGTATTGCTCATATATATGTGCACTCTGTGCAAATATAGAAATAATAAACGTACTGTAACTTTTTTTTTTATTATATAAGATATCTATACAGCCAACAAAGGCCACAACTGTGGCATCGTATACATTTTTCAAAATGTACATATGTTCATCTGTACATGCACCTGTAGTGCAAGGAATTTTTTTGTTTATTCTAGAGCGAGACATAAGGGCAGTTTATTTATTTGGGCAACTCAGCAACTTATTTTAAATGGTCCAGTTTAGGTTATTTTGCTCCTTCACCTTTTCGTACGTAACTTTTTTCTCATATGAAATAGAAACATCCACTGCAGGCTTCATTCATACTACCTGTGCATCAATTTCTACCCACCAAGGGAATATTTTAAACCAGCTTTGGCAACCAAGGATTTAAAGTAATTCTTTAAAGCAAAAATTTACACTACATAAACAACACAACTGTTTTTTTCTTTCTGGTTTTACTGTGGATAATGACAGCCAACATCTTCACAATGTCTTTTGCTTTAAATCTGAGGTCAATTATTTTGCACCAAAGCACATTCATCTCTGGGACACAGACCCCTGTCTCCCTCCTTTCTGGATCTAACCACGATGTCACAAAAGGAAGCTGTGTGTTTAGGATGTTCCCTGAAAACACATCAACTTTCACCTTCAATTAAGTGAAATCTTGTGAATTGTATCAGAAGTGTACAAAGCAATGACCTCATCATTTGGGTTTTCACAAATTGCTTAAAGTTTCTTTGTGACTTAACTAAAAATAACTTTGTTCCACTTGACTGACTTAAAAAAGAGGTTCAGTGTAATTCAGTGTTGGTAAGTAAAACAAAAAATACTTAGTGTATTTAAATAGCTTTTTTTATCTGTAGAATATAAAATAAATACTTTAAAAATTGGTTGTCAAGGAGCAAAATATACTCTCCCAATATTTCAGAAAATATTTTTCAAAATGTTATAAGTTTATCTTTGGAATTTATGAAAGTAATGCAAAAATAGTAATAAAAAAAACCTCACTGATGTAATTCAGCCAATAAAATGCAAGTATAGTTGGGGAGGAAATTACACCGGTTAAGAAATGGTGACGGGGCAAATTGACCAGGAGCTGGACCATTTGCTCATGTCAAAATAAGTAAAGAAAACATATCAAGGGTCTAACATCAAGCTGCAACAAAATAACACCTTCCGTTATGCACAAAGTGATACATTTCTGCTTCAGTAAGTGCACTAAAAATGAGAGAAATAATTAGACGTGTTGTCAAGCATAGAAGATAAGTTCAGGAATCTGCCCTCCCTGCACCCCGGTGCCGTTGGTGCTGTCTGAGGAGCACTGGAACTGGAATGTCACTTTACCACACTGTACCTCTGTCATCCCTTCCTGTCCGAAGTAGCTCAACTCATTTCCGTCCAGAACAACACTGGCAGTGTAGAAAGTATCTGGCTCAATTTGGACCGGATACTCGAACCATACTGGAAAGGTGTTGCTGGACCCGTCAGAGAAGTATTTATTGAGGTTTTGCCCCAGCAGCACACCTTGACGCTTCAGCTCTATCTTGGCGCTGTACTCTGCTGAGCCACAGCTAGATCCGTACAAGCCAAACCCGGCGATAAAAACTCTTTTATCTACAGCGAACTGTATGCTGTCACAGCGGCCGCGGTAGCGCCACTGATTGCTTCGATAGGCACAGGACTGAAATCTGTGGCAGCGCTGCGGAGTCAGGCCCTTCCTCTGTTGACTTGCAAACTTAAGCTCGGGCTTCTTGGCTGCCGTGTACCACAAGAAGATGTCATTGGTCTCATTAAGCGTCAACACGCCAGACTGGGCCGCTCCATTGGCAAAGTCATCCAGAGCCATTGTAGGGATACGTATGAGGTACATGGCCTTTCCCAGGACCTTACGCTTGTTGTCAGTAGAAGATGTGAGCTCCTGTCTCTGACACTCGGCCTCAGCCCAGCTAAGTGCAGCCTCGAAGACCACTATCTCTTTAGCATTGAGCGTCTCTCGCTGTAGGATGCTCTCCAGGGTCTGGGAGTCAATGTCACAGAAACCCTCTGAACGTAAAGCCAACTCAGCCTGGGCATCAATCACCTCCCAGCAGCGCTGTGTCAACTCTGGCTCCTCGAACAGGCAGCTCTGGGAGAGCAGCACGCAGGCGTTCTTGGCGCTCAGACTTGTCTCTAGGAAGTTGACGCAGGCACGTGCCAGGTGAGGGACAATGTACTTTTTGGCAGCATAGAGAGTGGCCAGCACGGTGTCGGCAGTCAAGTCAATTTCATCACAGTATATATACCTGTTGGAGTAGAAATTGGACGTTAGACACATCATCAAACTATGATGTTTAGCATGTTATTGTAAAATCAGGCGAGGTAGAATAGCAACATTATTGAAATTAGGAAATTTAGTGAAAGGAAATTGTGAGTTTACCTCGTTGTAAAGTCATTTATTTAGTCAATATTTAGTTCAAATTGGATCAATACTAAAGAATAATAAAAAATGATAAATGTTGAAGAATAGGCTTTTGTGAAAATTTTATTTAAAATTTGATCAAAATGCAGTTTCTGTTGAGGAATAAACCAGAAAATCCTCAGATTTTCTGAATCTTTTGGGAAGATTGAGTCCCATTTAAATGGGCTAAAACTGCACATCAAGTGCCCAACATGACAACATCATGACTCAGCATTTTGACTCAGGTTTATCTTGTTGACACCTCAGACATTTAGCTTTTTATGTTCCTGTCGAGTAAAGTGAGAGTGAACCCATTGGTGATAATGGAGCTGAATGAGACTTTCAGAAAGAAGATTGCAGCAGCTTTTTGCTCTAGTAAGGAGTTTAAAAAGGTCTCTAAATAATCTGAAATCAGCCAATACACTGTACAGAACGTAGTCTCCTAATGGAGAACACTAACAAACTACAAGCCAAGCCTGTCCATCCAGGCAAGGTCAACCTGAGAGCAGACTGCAAAATGCTAAAAATATTTTCCGAAAATCTCTTTTGTGCTGTTGATGTGAAAGTGCATCCCTGCATAGCCAGAAATAAACTGCACAAGTTTAACTTTCATGAGAGATGTGATGAGGGAACCATTTCTCTCCAAGACTAACATGAAAGTCATACTGAGCAAAAACAGACATAGACCAAGACTTATGGAATAGCGTTTCTTTGGGAGATGAGTTTAAGACTAGATAATTGAGACACCAGAACAGAGGACATGTTTGGTATTTTTAGGGGAAAAATATCCTGATACCAACTATAAAGCATATAGGTGGATGTGTCATGGTTTGGGAAAGCTTGTGCTGCAGCAGGACCTGAACAGCTCATCACAGAATCCACTATTAGTTCTACCGTGCATCAGAGTGTACTTTATTTATTTATTTTCACTTAATGAGCAAAAAATGTAATTTTGGGTGTTTCACTGTAATTAAATCAGCATTCTTTCCTCAGAAAACATGAGTGTGATTCTTTTTGGCATAAATGAGTCAAAGATTGTACTTATGTACTCTCACTACAGATAATACGCTTGACTATTGCATGGACGGGTGTAATAAGTCATATGAGTTTTGAGCAGTTTCATCCAAAATATAACAGAAAAGCGTTGATCTAGACAAAGAGCATCAGTAACATATCAGTGATGTGAGGGAAAAATAGACAAACAGTCTGAACCTCCTTACTTTAGCATGGCCAGAAATGCTGCTGGTTCCACATCTGGTATGTGAATTTCATCTTTGTTCTCCGCAAGTTCACCATAAAACATGGCGTGAAACACTGAACTGCCTACAGCCAGTACGTACTGTGGAAAGAAGAAGAGAAAACACTGTGACAATGGAGAATATACAACTTACTAGCACATCTCTGTATCTTTATATGTACAGTTATGGAGGTTTGAGATTTCAAAAATGATTCATGCCCCAGACTTTTTGCCAATGGCACTTGTTAGTCATCTTGTATGAGGGTGCAGCTTAATATCTGACCACAAAATAAAAAAAAAAAAAAAAAAAAAAAACATTAAGTGAAATCTTAACAATATAGAGTCTGCATACCATCAGTATGATAGGTAGATAGATAGATGGATAGATAGATAGATAGATAGATAGATAGATAGATAGAAATATTTAATCAGAGGAATTGCCTAAAATCAGGCGCTTAGAGCTTGTTTGCAGTTAGAACCGCCTGATGCCTGTGATGGCAGATAAAAGCTTATGCAGTAATTACTGAGGTCGGGTTGTAATTATTTTTGCTCAGGTCATTTTGTAAAACCACAGAAAAAAGCAAATGTTTCATTTCTGTGAGAACTCTGACCAACAATGACTTGACAATAGATTATGCCTGGAAAACCTAGCCTTTTGTTTAAAGTAAACACGTTTGTTATCCGACTATGCAAAGTTTGGCATAGTCAGATGGATATGCGAAAGACGAGGTCCAATATATCCTTTTTTTGTTTGGATAAAAATGCAAGTATCTGAGAAAAGCTTAAGTCATGGAAATATTTAATCCTTTGATTTTTCTCTGCAGTTCTTAGCCAGCTTTCCTTTTCCCTGCGGACAGGAAGGCAGATTTCTAGATACTTAACAGAGTGCACTAAAGGTTCAGTTTGCTGGAATTAATGAATTATCTGAATCATGATGAAATTAGATGCAACACAATCACCGTTTTCATTAATAGGCACGCTTCGATTAGACACTGCAGGGCCTCAAGTTCTGTTTATAAACTCAGGTTTCAGATCTTTGTGTGGAAGTGTTTGTGCGAGCATGTGTAGGTGAAGATGTGGGTGGCATAAATTTCCTGAAATAAATTTCTCTAAATTGCAGCCAGTCAGGGGGAAATGCTCGAAAAGATATCACTATTGTTGTAGATGCTGGTACATGCTGTAATACAATTTTCTAAAACATATATCGTTTCCTTCATTATGGGAGACACACATGCTCTTGTATGTGGATTAAGGAACAACATAGTAGAAATGAATTAAATTAGTCTCAGGTCATGCTCTAATGTACTTCATAGATATAAACAAATTTAATGCTTTTAGATATTTTCTTGGCTTGCTAAGGAACTAACTGCAAAGCTAATGGTTGTGTAATTTCCTGCCAACTGGACACAATAAAGATTGCTGAGCTGAATATCTTTAAATCCTATTGGTATAATGTCTCAGCATAAAGGGCCATCAAATCATTCTTCCATAACTGTTCTCTCTAAATGCACCAAGAGCACTGCAGCTCCAAATCATATATAATTCATTTGGTCCCATATAATGAACCAAAAGAGAGAAAATGGAGCTATTGAAAGCTAATGTGGTTGGACGGGTGAATTTAAGATATTAAAGGGACTTACCGTATTAATCTTGTGTAATTGTGTTTAAAGTAAGTAAATGTGAGAGTGCATTCATAGAGGGCATACGGTCTAAGAAAAAGTTGATCTTAATTATTTATCTGAACATCTTGAAAGAGCAGACACTTCAGTGGGCAGAGGAAACAAAGACGTTGGGCTAAGTAACATTATGGTACAAGTTAGATATAATACTAACTATCTGAGCATCTAATGATAACTAATCTAGAAAAAAATTATTTTCTTAAATAAAGCAGACTTATTTGCAGGTTTTAAATTGTTGAAATTAGCACCTAAACAGCTGGAATTTAATTGAAACCGACTGAAGTAGTTCTGATCTTTGCATCTATGGTCTATTGAGAGCTGAGTGGGATTTTCCTGCTTGAAATTCCGCTCTTATTTACGAATTAATAAGCGATAACATACTTTTTTCTAGTTTTTCATCAGTAAATTGCTTATTAGTAAAAGTTTGGTATCATGTTTGCAGAAGACATTTAAAAATGCCTTGTGACCTGGTTAAACTTTAGTTATTTTTCTCTAACTGAAAGTCAGGGACAGAAGTTAGCGTAGTTACGCATCAATTCGAAAGCTTGCTCCCTTTACTTATTTGTGAGAAAAATTCTGATTTTTAAAAAAACAAAAAAGTCAAACATTTTAAATGTCTGAAGTCATAGCAGATATCTGCAGAGTAAGCTATAAAGGTTCAGTGACTAAAGTAGTTTAAGGAATGCTTAAACGAGTTAGTTGTGAATTATAGCATTACAGTATACGAAATCTTTTCCAAAATCTTTCCTAAGAGCATTTTCACACCCATAGTTCGTTTACTTTTATCCAAATCAGTTTTTGAGCTTAATTTCTAACTTTTCCTGGTGGTTTGGTGTCTGAAAGCACGTGAAAAGAATTTAATCAAATTGTTAGTTTTTCTGGTTACTATTTCAGACAAAATAATTGAATAAGTGTAATGATTTTGAGAGCCTGGCTTGAAGCTTACATGTCAGTTTATGCTTAGCAAAAAAAGAAATGCAATGTCATTTACTCTACCGCATCCCACAATGCAACACATATCTGAATATGGGAAGTCATTTGGCTGAAGTTTGCAGCCACCGACTGGTTGAGGTGTAGGATTGAGGTGGGATCACATTCAGACCATAAACACATCACTCTAGAGTTTGTTTGAAATTGAGGTGGTCTTCGTACCTGGTGTGCGGTTTAGTCTGCACACTAGTGCGAGTCTTTGGGTTTTCATCTGCCTAAATAAATCGCACTAATGGAACAACCAAACCAGGGATCACTTTAAATGGACCCTAATATTTGTAAATTCCCATTCTTTTCTCATCTTCCTTTGTTGGATTTAAAGTCGGTTACCTCCAAAGCAGTTCTGAAAAGCATAGTTTGGGCTGAGACAAGGGCGAATCTATTTTGTGTGAGATGACTGCTGAGGAGGAGACGACCCCTTCCTCTTGCTCGCTCTCTTTCAGCCTCATTTATATAAATAATTGAAGACTGTCTTGGAAAAGACACATGGTGCGGAAGTGAGAACAGAGCACAAAAGATTTCACTTCCACAAAAGCACAGGATGGAAGATTATTATTTTCATGCTTCTATGAAATGACCTTCTATGAAACTCAGCCTGCCTGATCCCTTGTTTGTTGATTTCCTTTTCTTGTTGCTGTTATTTTTACTGATATAGATTCTTACTCTGTGGCCCGGCAGCCGCTGGGTCCTTCCAGGCTGACCCACGACAAAATGAACATCTGCCATCAGCTCATTGTTGAACATCACTGAATTTCTGAAGGGAAAGAAAAGCAGAAGAACAAAATCAGTACGTCTGTATAGTATTTCAGCAGTTTGGTAACATTACTGCTCAGTAGCATCCTTCATCCTGCTTTATTTAAACTAAAGCAGTCTCATCCGTATGAGTTCTCCTCATACCATTTCGTTTTATGTCTTCTCTCTTCACAAAGACAGACGAACAAGACTGCAAACTTAATGGAAAGTCCCCGCTGTGAAAGAACGGGACCAACAATAAAGCTGTGCTCATATATTATTGAGTACATGTCACTGGGGTGGGTAAACAGCCCCGCGACGTTCTGGAGAGACAACAAAAGCCAGGTCAGAAAAAAAAGAAAAGCCCACGTTTTGCTCCGAACAGCTGGGGCCTTTTACAGATAGGCCAAAGTAAATATTTAGCTTTTAGCACAGATCAGCCTCTGCATGTTGTGCATATCAAACACACTTGCTGCCTGTCTGTTCTCCACTGCATCAGAGCAGTGAAGGCTGGAGGAGTGGGAGAGGCTGTAAACAGAGGTCTCCCCAACAGAATGAGGACAGTGCTGACAGAACACCGGCACAACGGCAGGGGCCGGTTGCAGCCGTCGAGGTACACCGAGGTTTTAAACGCATACGGTTAACGTGTGCAGTTTAAAGCTGTTTCAATAAGATTCCAGTGGATTGGCTGGAATGACTGCTGAGCACTGCTTGTCCAGATGGCTGAGAAAAAGGCTCCTTCCTACACTTTTCTCTTGCTCACAAAAATTGATACATTTTGCCGTTTGGAAACATTTTAATTTGTGAAACACATGAACAATATGTAATCTAAAAGACTGCAACCCATTGCTCTTATTAAGGTGATATTGTTTTAAATTTGATAAGCTGCAGAATGTCAGATAGCTACCTAAGCAGATAGCCAGACCACCTAACCTGTTAATACCAGATTGTTACACTACTATGAAGATTATGAATATTTGAAGTTCAATTTCCCAACTGCAAAAAGCAAGAATTTTAACACCATTACAAATTATTTATGGTCTACTTTAATAAAAACAACAAAATTGTTATATTTTTTGTTTTAATTTTCATTCAATGATCCTTATACTGTTTTTTTTCTTTTTTACTTAAGACAATCATACCATGACACTCTCACATTCACTATAGCTAACCACAAATATGAAGGTCACTAGCTTGCATTAGTTCTGTCTGAGATACTGATAAATGAGAATCTTTCTACAAGTTTCTCATTCATCAGTACACATGTAAGTCTCCAAATAGTTGCAGTCATGAGAATCATTTGTGTTGCAGTGTGCAGCTTCCCTGTTTGGCGTACTGTACCTTTCTCTTATAGTTGAGTAGAGTCCCTGCCAGTTGCAGTTCTGTATCGTGTTGTTGTTGTTGAGGTTCTGCTGCTGGTACTCCTGCACCGTGGTGCTGCTGCTGCTGGTGGTGGTGGTGGTGGTGGATGCCGGCTTCTTGGTGGGAAAAATTTCCGCAGACATCTTCTTCTTCTTCTTGCTCCTCAGGGTGATTATCTCATAACAGACTGGGGGCAGCTTGGAGCTGCCACTGGCATTCCCTTTTTTGGAGCTTTTGCTTGACTTGCTTTTCACCGAGTCAGGAAGCATTAAGAAGAAAGTCAGACATTTCATGTTCCTTCCCTTGGCATCGACCATGAGTGTGTTCAACTGCTGAGCAGTGGGAGAGCATGCAGAGAAGACATCCGGCAGGAGTAGCCAGGTGTGATGGAGGGCTGAGGGGGATGAGGACAGGAGAGATTTGAGCCGCTCTGAGCAGTTCGGCAGCAAGAGTCCTGCGTGAGGTCTGCTCCACCAGCTTTTGGAACTACTAGGATATGTCTCTTCTCTGTTTTCTCACTTCCCTGAAGAAGAAGCTTCAAACCGGCGATCTGAAGGCTTTTCTCTGATGTGAAGTTTGATCTGGTGATGGAGAGCCTTTCAGGGTTCCCATCTTTGCTTGTCCAGAGTGATAAGATCAGCTCTTCAAATCCACTTCTTCTCTCCTCCTCTCCTTGCCGTTCTCACTCGCTGGCTCACTGAGGGTTGTCCTGACAGCTCCAGATTTAGTATCGCTGCAGTTGTCCTCAGGCAGCACCTTTTACTCAGGTCCTGTCATTTTGCCCTCTTTCTCCCTCTGTGCTTTTCATCCCCTCTCTGCCTCTGTTCATCTGTGACTCTTTTTCTCTGTGTGGCAGGATCGTTTTTTTTCTCCCCTTCTCTTCCTCGGAGCAGACTCATCTGCAGGATGCAGGAGCTGTGAATGCTGCGCTGCTCCGCTCAGCCTCTCGTTCTGCTGACTACAGGGGTTGAATGGGAGAGCGCAGAAGAGATTGAGAGCCCCCGCATGCCCGCCCCCCTCTCAGCACAGTTTAGAGCTCTCTCAGGAGCTCAGCCAATGGCAGCAGGCAGCATTTATGATTAGCTAATTCAGCCTATAGGGCTGCACATGCTTGAATATGTAATTGGGTACGTCTCAATTAAAGTGGCAGTCATGTCTCATAAGAAAGACAGATTAATCCACAGCTTTTCCTCCATGTGTTTCATTTACTTGAAGCCAAAGGGTTCAATTTTAACTCCAATAAATAAACTTAATAATTGTTTAGGTAGAATTTGATTAGTCATCATATGACATTTGTATTGAATGCGGTTGAAAGTATCGAATCCCCACCTATAGTGGGATTACACTGCTTCACCATAGATTTCTACCTCCGAGATGTTTCAAACAACTTTTCTTTGAAAGAACAAAAAAGACCTTCAAAGATGTCTTTGTAAATTTTTTATCATCCCATCCGGAGAGTACATGGAGCTAAGAATACAATGTACTCTCAGCACAATGTTCTCTAAATGCATATGGATTATTTGTCCTTCTTGTTTAACTTGCACAGTAGCTTTACTTTTTTCCTTTGAGGCTTTAATTGTTTATTTACACCCTTGCCACGCTATTGAGTATCTGTCCTGCATTTCAGCTGCACAAAGATACAAGACTTTTACGTAAATAACACTCCTTCACTGAACACTAGAGAGGCATCTTTTTTTTTAATGTATCAATTCCAATTTTGCCGGTAATTGTTTCCTTTCTTACTAAATATGTGGGGACATATTTAATAATCAATTTATTCAAAGTTTCGATTGAGTTAATTATGATCTGTAAGTAATTATTTGCAATTAATCGCATTTTAATTGAAAACTATGTCAATCAAAATAAGCAACATTTTCAATTCAAAAACTAAATTGTTGAATAAATGGACATGTGAGCCCACAAAGATTTTTATTGTTTTTAATCTGTTGTTTGGGTTATTCAACCTTCAGATTGGTACAAAGGCTATTATACCCATTCAACTCTCCAGTGTTTCAGTAACAACTGATCATTCATTTAACTTATATAAATTATTTCTTCAGAAATGTGGGAAGTGAACTGAGACATTAGCGGTGGGCATGCCTGTGCTGCTGCAGCATGTTTTGAATCTTACTGCCCAGATTAAGTCTAATCTAGGCTGTTGAAACTCAGGCATGTTAGCCTGCTTGGTCAAATTCTTAATTATTTTCAGCTTTATGTTCAGCAATGATGTTTTTTTCTTAGCCTTCTTACCAAAACCTTGTTTAAATGTGCAGGCTCACTTTTCTTCACATTTGATTTGATACTGTCACATTTGCAGTTTTATCTTCATCTAAGTCAAGCTGTGATTTTTTTGTTTTTTTTGTTACAAAACTATCAAAACATTTTGTGCCATCAGCATCAGAGTTGTTACCAGATATTTGCATACACTGTATAAAAGCAGAACTATTTTGTCTGACATTAACTGACCCAACTGAAAGTTAGCATTACATATATAGTAAAAACATTCTTTAAAAATAATTTTAAGGTTAAATTACTCTGTTTCGTAGGTGGAGGAAGCTTCTTTTGAATGACTTCCCACTTGATATTTTTTAACATACGTAGTCCATTTTAAGATTGGCATTTTTAATTGTATATTATCACGATGGGTCTTCAGCCCATTTTCTATGGGTTGTGTGTATATGATTTCGACCAAAGAATTTGATTTTGACAGACATTTCTGCTGTATTTGGCTATTATTTAAGTTGGGATAATCATTTTGTAGATGTTTTGCAGAATAATTCACTTTCTGGGGTGTCATTATGTTTAAAGAGTTCATTATTTAACCATCTATATTTGTTTGGTGATGAAAGCATAGCTGGGAAAAGACCTTTTAAAGTACTTTGCAGCTGATCTAGTGTCATCCTTAGGGTAATTTAGAAGAACCATTTGTTCTTAAGGTTTAACTTAGCTGTTGCTTCAACTCTGTCTGATCCTATTGTTTCATAAAATCACTAAATAATAAATTGACCTCCACTAGGTGGCCAGAGACTTAATGAAGTTCACTAAACAGTCAGATGACCAGGTTGTCGATACAAAATGGAAAACAAAGATTCAAGACTATGTTGTGATGGCAAAAACGTAACACACACTGTTAAACACGCTTCACATTGTATAACAGCACAAACCTTTTCAAAACAGGACTTGATATTTTATAAAATGCTTAAATCCACCTCTCCCAAGTATCATTTTAGATAACCGGCATGAAGAGAAAAAAAAGTATTTGGTTAGTTTGCTATTTTATTTTCATAGTGTTGTGTTAGTGTTATTTCTATTAAAATGTGTGTTCATATTGCATTGCACATTCATAACAGTGAAAATAAAACTCACAAACAGAGTGGGATAAGTTAAATGAATTTACCGGTGAGACTCTTCCTTGAACCAGTCTCAATATTGATTTTTCCATAAAACCTAATTAACTGTCTTAGTGTTTTGCTGCACTGAGGAGCATTAGCCCACTAAGCCCCCTGATACAGTGTATGCTGTCGAACAGAGAAATTTGCTATGGCAACATGGAACCAACATTACGGGGCACCATACTCTGAAATTGCAGGCCACTAGAGATGTTACCCTGGTAACCAAATCCACAAGTAACACCAGAAAGGAAAAAAAAAACAAAAAAACATATTATGCAGACAAAAACAATGATGATGGGAAAAGGTTTTCTTGTGCTGTGTTTTTATTATTCCAGATAGATCCATTGTCATAAATGTCTATTATCTGCAGAAGTTAAAATGATGGTTCCTTATCTGAAACTGCTAATATGCGTAATAAATCTGACAGTTTTACAATTTATCTAACCGTACAGCCCAGGAGCTGCCTACAGTATTTGATTAATGCCACCAAATATCAGTTTTAAATGGTTTAATTGCATTTTCCCTCCATTCATCAGCAGAAAATGAAATCCTGTTGTTCACACATCCAGACTCAGGAGTGAAGGGAGGAAGTAATGATTGTGTTGTTACGTCGTCAACATTGATTTGATCTCGCATGTTGTCATCGCCTCGGCGCACATTTTCACAGAGAAGTGAAAAATTAGCATAACTGTAGTAACACTGCAATTAACACCGAGTTTAACAAAGACCAACAGCTGCTATAATCATCACATTTAACACAATGTTGCACATGCACACACATGTATGTGTGTGCATATATAAATATACCACGAACACTGCTGGTTCAAGGTTTAGTCCTCTCAGAATTAAGGCTAGAAAATATTAAATGATTTTATATATTGATGGAACTACAGGTCTCTTAAATTCCTTTCCTCTGTACAGTTTTCTTCCTGCTGTGGGGTAGAAACATCAAAAGACGAAGTTAAAAAGCAGCAGAAGTCCAGCTGTGCCTTTGTTGATTGCTTCTTGAGGATAGCGCTCAATGAAACACCTTTATCTTCAAAGTTGTTTTACCAGGACACCTCCGTCCTATAAGAACTAACTACAGATGGTGTGCTGTACAAACAAACCAGAAAAGCAGACTGCTGAAATATGCTCAGTGTAAAAAAAAAAAAAAAATCTGTATTGGTGTGAATTATTTTGGGTTCAGTGGAATTTGAATAGAATTTCTGCAAAACTCTGAATGCTAAGTCATTAGTTATGTTGTGGAGGTGGCTGCTTGCCACTTTGGGTTTGAGCACAGAGATGCCACCCTGTGTGGCGACAGAACTCTTCTGCAGAGGGAAACCTGCTGAGAGGCTTGGCTGAGCGCAGCGGAGGAGAGGGGAGGCTGCGAAATGAACTGTGATGTAGGGTTGGCACACGAAGGCAGGGATGGGATCCAGCAGCTCGCCGTCCACTGTTGGCTCTCCGTACCCCTCCTTTCTGCCTCCACCCCTCACTCTGCTGCCACCATTAAAGCAGGCAAGGGCACCTGACAGGTGGAAGGGGCGGAAGTGATGGCGTCCACCCAGATATGGGGCTTAGAAGTCCTGAAAGAGCTGGGGGGGGGGTTTCAGTGGGGTCTTGGAGAGAGCTGGCAGTCGGGTGCAAGAACAGTGTGAGGGTTTGTGTGCACGTGCACTGCCCCAGCTAAAGTGTGTTTGTGAGGCTAAAATTTGTAGTTCATCCATCACTTTCCTTGATTTTTTTGTTACCATTTGCTGTCATTGGGGTTTAGTTATCAACATAATATGTTGGGGGGGTGGGAGGAGGACCAATTTTTATCTAATTTCAGGATGTGTCAATTCATATGTGAGTATATATCACTTCATGTTTATTTATTGTTCACTACCAAAACAACCTCAGTTGAGTCAACAATCCAAGCTCCTGCAAAGCACCATCAGAAAACGATCATGCTATGTCATGTTTAGAAGGCCTTTAAAGTTTTCAGTTTTTGTCTTTTGTTCGTTGCCAATTAGCATTCAAAGTCACCAGTGACAGCTGTGCACATTTCAGCTTTGTCATGTGAAAAACAGCTTTAAGTTGCAAGTACTTCAGAAATTTAACTGCTCTTGAATGCGTTCATGTACAACACTGCCAGTGAGTATTAAGTTTATTAATTCTTCCCACGCATGTCATTATGAAGTTATTCCCAAACCCATAATTGGATTTAAAAGAGGGATACCTAACACTCCTAAGCTAATGCAGTCCATGCTTGGGGGCTTTTGGATGAAACTTCTCAAAATGAGATTGAAAACGCTTTCATTCAGTCAAATTTTACCGTGGGCAGTTTCTTTAGGGGTACTGCAGAGGGTGTGGGCTTGCCTCTGGGGAGAATCTGCTGTAAAAGCCTGAGAAAGTTTATGAAGGCCATCATTTTAGCATGTGCATTTTTGCAGAACAGTGTGGTGTGTGAAGAACTAATTTGGGTTTGGTTGCTGCCAGACTGAGGCAGGACCTTATCTAGCACTTCTAATGTGCGACTGCTCAACACTTGTTGAGGTAAATCTACTTTGAAAATAACAAGATGTGACACAATATTTGGACACTTTCTTTGTGTTGGAGACTATGATTCATCTTTTCTGTCT